TTTTTTTGAATGTCCAGAGGACCAGATTTAACTTTTTTAGATTTTTCTACCTGGATTATTGAGCATGCATCAGGAGATTCATGAAAGGTTTGATAAAGTTGATCAGCTCGTATGTAGATGATACCACGTTATATTCAGTAAAAATGTCCAAATTCCCTCTTGATTATTTTATCAGCTGAAGTATTTAGCCATTTTTATGAATCATTATCCAAAAGTCTCCTTTCTGGTAGAAATCAGTACAAGTTTTTGGAGCTTTTACCATGAAGTGAAAATAATAATTATTATATAATTATATAACAATCATATATAATCATATAATTATGAAATTTCCCTTTGGGATCAATAAAGTATAGATTATATTGATTGACTAATAAAAAGTTTATAGCCAAAGGTTTGTATTTTGCTTAATATTGCTAATTTTGAGAAGATTGTTTTTCATCTGTTTTGATGTTAAACCTAAACATTATATAAAAAGGATTACCAACTAATTTACAGAAAGTCTGCATCGACCTCTGAAACCTGCTGGCCAAAATGATACCATTCTTTAACTAAAATTGTGAGTCGCACAAAATCACTCCAAGGGCCGCAACTGGCCCACGGGCCTTATTTTGGACACCCATGGTTTAGATACTTGAACTCCCCATCTTTGGGCAAAGAGTTCCAATGTTGTCTTCATGCTTGCTCAAGATGAGTCTGCGATCAAGTTAAACTCAAAGCTGTCTGCTCCTCATATAAATAATGTTATTAACTTACTTTTTATGTATTTGAATGTTTCTGTTCAGTGCCCTGAGATGACTTCTGTTGTGACTTGGAGCTACAGTATATAAATAAATTGAATTAAATAGAATGGAAACTTATCCCAACCCAGAATGATCATTCCATCTGTTTCTGGTTGAGAACAATGGTCTCAGACTTAAAGGATTGAACCTCATGGGGCGGCTGTGGCTGAGTGGTTAGAGCAGTCGTCCTCCAATGCGAGAGTTGGAGGTTCGAATCCACCAGCAGTCACATGTCGAAGTGTCTCTGGGCAAGACATTGAACCCCTCATAGCCTCTGATGTCTCCCATCAGTGTATGAATGTGATCTAAAGCTCTGATTAGTCTCTTTAGAATGATTTGTTCAATTAGCTTTGTAGTGATCTAGTAGAGTGCTGTATGAATGGGTAAATGAGGCACAGATTGTAATGTAAAGTGCTTTGAGTGTCTTGAAATAAGATAGAAAGGCGCTATATAAGTACAGTCCATTTACCATTCCATTTCATGTCTCACACTTGGCTTTGTCCCACAATAATGTACTCTAATGGTACAAGGTTCTTTATTGTTATTTGCATCACATGTGGTACATGAGGTGGAACAAAATTGTATACTCAAGATCCCATTTACACCCAGAACTAGCAATAATATAAAGTATAAAAAAGAAACAGTATACAATGATTTAAGATATATGCTAAACAATGATAATGTAATATAATATGGTTTATTAAACAGCGGCCTGAACATGAGTCTGTTGTGAGCAGATGGGTATGAATACAGCAGCTTAATCAGCAGCACAGATAAAGTGTCAAATATCCAATTAAAGTGGCATTACAGGGATTATTCTGGTTAGATATTCATGAGTCTAACGGCCTCAGTGTAGAAGCTGTCCCTCAGTGTGGTGGTTCTACACTTAATGCTCCTCAACCTCCTGTCTGATGGGAGTGGGGCAAAAAGTGTGTGTACTGGGTGAGTGGGGTCCTTCATGATGCAGGTGACCCTCTTCCTGCATCTGGAGGTGTAGATGTCTGTGATGGTGGGGAGGCTGACTCCAACAGACTTCTGTGCAGTCTTCACCACTCTCTACAAAGCTTTTCTTTCTGCAGCTGTGCAGCCTCCATGCCACACGTTGATGCTGGAGCACAGGATGCTCTCCATTGCACACGTGTAGAAGGAGGTGAGGACTGAGCTTCCCAGAGCAGCTCATCTCAGCTGCCTGAGGCAGTAGAGGAAGTAGGTCATGGCCTAAAGACGTAGACAAAAAACAATTATTTGCAAAATTAGATGAGACCCTGAGGTTCCCAAACCCTTCAACCCCTCCCTATGATTGTGCCTTGAGATCTTATCCATGCACATCACAAACAGGATTAAATATAAGGGCCACACCTTGCAAGGTCCAGCAGTAACAAGCTCGACTCGGTGCTGAAAATTTGGACACAGTATATTGTTTATATGCACTAAATAGCTCTTAAATGTGACCTCAGTGCCCAATAATGCTGCAGCACCCTCCACAAAGTGTCTCCAGGGACACTGTTACAAGCCTAATAACGATCCATAAAATACATGGACCAGACAATTAATCTTCCCTGACCCCTTCAACAATTCTGCAATCTGGTTCAACTGTAAAAACCCTACTGATCCCCAACAGCTGGAACAAAAAAGGGACCAGTGGTCTGGTACAGGAATTGGTAAAATCCTTGTGTGACAAGAAGATATGTGCAAACAGTAGCATCTCATTGCATTGAGCATCTCAGGACTAATTTCGTCCACTTCTGAGTCCTAGTATCCTGCGGTGAAGAGCTTTTTAACTACCTTGATGACCTCTACTTCTCTCACCCCTTTAGAAATAATAAAATAAAACCCTTTCTCCATAAGCATTATCAAGCAATGACAGCAAATTGCATTTTCACACAACACTTCTGTGTTCAGATTTAGCTTCAGTGATGTAAAAAAAAGTTTAGTACTTCACAAGTTGTTGTACATCTGATGTTGTATTTGCCTGCTTTAATGATCTTGGAAAAAGTAGCTGATTTCTTTATTATAACCAGGGGTGCACATACATTTTTTGGTGGGCTCCTCAGGTGAGTACTAGGAGATGGTGTTTGGTACTCACCCTATGCTTTGTCTTAAGAAGTGCAACCATCCTCGCTGTCTTCCTCAGTGTCACTCCCACAATCCTCTGCTTCAGCTTCCTGCATGGTAGATGCTGCAGATGTACCTCCTTGTCCTTCGTATTTTTTTCTCTTTCATTATTTAGTAAAACCCTCTATTTTGTGAAATGTAGTTATAAAACCCTTCACGAGTTTGTATTTGCATCTTGTTGCATTGTTCTGTTTTATGTTGTTAATAAAGTTCTAGAAAAAAACTGATGGGCTGCATATATCTGTAGGGAAGTGGTGTTTACCTTCGAGACAATTTGAGGTCGTCGATTGGTCAGTTGTTGACACGCCTACTGGGTTGATTGGCATGTTGCATCACGGATCTGACAAGTGCAAAAAAAAAAAAGACGCTGCCACCGGCCCTGGGTGGAGGTGGGGCAGCCCAGGTGCAGCTGTAGCAATGTTAAGAGTTTTAATGTTGTTAATAATAAGTTCTTTAAAAAAACAGGGAGTGCTGGCCCACACATCAGACTGGCCCACCGGGAAATATCCCAATCCCACGGTCAAATACACACAGGCGTGTGGTACACATTCCTGATTTTTGTTGCACATATGCACCCCTGATTATAACACTAGCGTTGAAAGAGGCAGTCACTATTCATTAAATTATGTTTCAATAAAACATTTTATTTGAATACTCTAAACTTCACAACTTTTTGTCATGATGGTGACTAAAGGCTGGTGAGCTCATAGTATGCCAAAATCATATCTATGCCTAATGCCTAATGAAACTTTTTTTTATATAATTTTTTTCTTGTACTTGCAGGAAAGAAGCTGGGCTACACATTCGACAACAACAACTTCCACAATGTCTCTTTGGGTCAAGGCCAGGAGGTTATAGCTGAACAAGCCCTCCATTTGGCTGCTGAGAAAGGTCACTGGGTCATCCTGCAGGTAGAGCATATTCTAACACATTCTGCACAACTACAGAAAAATATACAACTTAGTGAAAAAAAAAACAACACATGATTTTACTGTCTGCAATGGTGCTGCATTCAAGAATTGTTTGAAACTTTAATAAACAATGTGTTCACTTATACAGTGAACAATGGGCAAACAAACATTATTAGCCCAAAGATAAAAAGGGAATAATGTTTTCTGTTCATTTGCTATCAAAATCCCTGCCCGGGACCTTTCTGGGTGGAGTTTGCATGTTCTCGCCATGCTGCGAGGGTTTCCTCCCACAAACCAAAAAAATGCACGTTAGGCTGATTGGTAATTCTAAATTGTCCCTAGGTGTGTGTGAGAGAGTGAATGGTTGTTTGTCTTGTTTGTCTCTATGTGTCCCAGTGATGGACTGGAGACTTGTCTAGGGTGTCCATGTGATGGACTGTAGACCTGACCAAGTGTCCCTGTGATGGACTGGAGACCTGTCTATGGTGTCCCCCACCTCTCACACAGTGATAGCTGGACATGGGCACCAGTGACACCCACAACCCAAAAAGAAAGAAGCGAGCAAAAGATAAAGGATGGATGGATGGATGCATGGATAGATGGATGGATGGATTTTTATTTATTAACCTTTATTTAACCATGCAAATCCCACTGAGATCACAGATCTCTTTTGCCAGGGAGGTCTGGACCTGAAGGCAGCCTAACATGCATGTTTTTGGTCTGTGGGAGGAAACCAGAGTACCAGGAGAAAACCCACGCAAGCACAATATGAACATGCAAACTCCACACAGAAAGACCCAAGGTCCAACTGGGGATTGAACCCAAGACCTTCTTGATGTGATACAACATTGCTAACCACTGAGCTGCCGTGCTGCCAAATGGATGGATGGATGGATGGATGGATGGATGGATGGATGGATGGATGCATGCCTACATTTAAATTTTTTAGTCAGATTGAATGTAAATGTCACAAAGTACAATACTTAAAATAATAAATTCAAGTAAAGTAGAAGTGCATAAAGGATTAATTACTTAAAAATGACAAATACACAAAATGACACTCATTTACTTGTTTAAGTGTAATTCCTTACCTCTGCTTAGCACAACACATTGCCCAGTAGTTACCTAAAACTTTGGCAGTGTTAGTCAGCACTGTCATGAGATGGTTTTAGTTTAAAACCTTTGCGTGGAAGGCAGGAGGTTATATGCATTTCGTTAAGGAAAGGTTATTATTAAAACTGCTTTTAAAGGAATGATAAAAACTTTACAGCAAAATAAACACTTCAGTTTAAAACATTTGTGTCTGTAGGGTCCATTGACGCCATTGGAAGTCATATTTTCTGGGACTTCCTTCATCTTTCTTGTGAAGTAGGTGTGTTATCACAGCGCTTTTTTTTTTTTTTTTTTTTTTTTTTAAATGTATTTACTCATCAGGATGTTTGCTGTCCTGAAAGTTTTGTCAGCATAAGAGCTGGATTTATTTTTCTGCAGTTTTTTTTTTTTTTTTTTGGGGGGGGGGGGGGCAAACAGCTCCACTGCATTAAACAGAACAATATCTTGAACCGCTGTGTCTGTTCTCTTATCTGGAGGGCAAGGCTGGCTTTTGCATTTTAAGTGAAAACCTTGGTGGAATTCTAATGGAGAGTATTGACAGATATGAACTGCAGACCAGGCGCTGTGGGACAAGCTCTTCCTTTAATTCACACAGCTGGTGGAGTTTAAAAAAGAAAGGGAGAAAGAGGGATTGTTGTGATGGCACCGCTCTCTTCTTCAGAGGCAGGATAGCGCAGACAAAAAGTTGTTTAATTACCTTAGCATAAGAATGTCGATCGATGAGGATTAAGTTTGGGGCCGAGATGGTGTAGAGGCAGGGCAGCCGGCTTGGGACCCGAGAGTTCCAGGTTCGATCCCCAGTCACTGCACATCACGTGGCGTCTCTGGGCAGCACGTCTAATTCCCAAAATGTCCCCCGGGCGCTTTCAATAGCTGCCCACTGCACCACCTGGTGGTGGATGGGTTAAATGCAGAGACTAATTTCGCCATTGTATGGAAACATACAGTGCTGACATTGTGATGACATTATTATTATTATTATTATTAAAAAGGACTTGTCCCCCTAGCAACAATCCTCCCACTCACTTTCTCATTGACTGTTTGTTAGTCTGCCTGCCAAGACCCCATGGCACCAAACAAGGAGAGGAAGGAAAGCCAAGAGTAAGGAAGGTATCATGTTTTCATTGAGTCTTTTACAATATGTTCTTCACCCCTTTTGTCTTGTTCTTCCATGTAGCTTCTCATACCTGAGTCGTATGTTCTCCACTGGTTTCCTGCTTTATAACCCACTCACTCATCCCCTCCACCCTCCTAACCCACACTCCTCCAGCTTCATGAATTTACTCTGCTGCTGCCATGCCATCTCCATCAGTGGAGAGCCAGGTCAATGGCAGGTTCCCCTTTTCTAGACAGGTAATTATACTTGAGAACAGCAGCTTCTGCTTTGATGGGGCTGAGAGAGGGAGATACAGAAACTTTAAAGCAGCCTGCTGGAAAGATGGAGAGGGGAGACTGTGAGGCAATCATTTGGATAGATTGGAGCTGAATATCCCAGATTGGCCACACATGGCCTAAACTGAGGATCCTTTTTGCACATTTATTGCTAAAGCCAGCCTATTTGAAGGCTGGGAAGAGTGTGGTTAGGAGTAGTGAAAATCCTCAACACCTGTGATTTCTATCTTTCAGTCAGATAGATCTGATGGCTTTTAGAAACAAACATTTCAGAAAATTATTTTAGTTTGAGAGTAATTTAAGCTGCAAAAATAAAAATGAAATATCTGTGTGCAAATTTTCTATGTGGTTTTACATCTTCACTGTTTGAAAGTCATGATCTTGATGACTTGAGGCAAATACTGTATATTCCTAAAGAATTGAGGTGAGTTCGGTTTATACCAGCAACAGCAAATATTTACAAATTTAAAATTATTACATTATCCTAGTCTTTTATACTGTCTGAAGTCTTTAATATTGGTGATTACTTAGTGTTGTAATTAGGGATGCACAATATTGGATTTTTGGCCAATATCCGATATGCCGATATATCCATCCATCCATCCATCTATCCATCCATTTATTATCTTCCACTTGTTCCAAAGTCAGGTCTTGGAGGCAGCGTCTTGAGCAGGGAGGCCCATACATCTCTTTCCACAGCCACCTCTTCCAGATCTTCTGGGAGGACTCTATTTTGTACCCAGGCCAACCGAGAAATTCTCTCCAGTGTGTCCTGGGTTTTTCCCGGGGTTTCCTCCCAGTTGGACATGCCCGAAGCACCTCTCTAGGGAGGCATCCAGGGAGCATCTTTACCAGATGCCCAAATGACCTCAACTGGCTCCTCTCAATGTGAAGGAGCAGCGGTTCTACATTGAGCCTCTCTCTCCTGGATAATTGAACTTCTCACCCTATCTCTAAGGGAGAGTCCAACTCCTCTGCACAGGAAACTCATTTCTACCGCTTGCATCCACGCTCTCATTCTTTTGGTCACTACCCAGTGTTTGTGAGCATAGGTGAGTGTAGACTGACCAGTAAATAGAAATCTTTGCATAACAACTCAGCTCCCTCTTCACTACAACGGACCGTCACAGAGTCCTCAATACTGCACATGCTGCACCAGTCAATCTGTCAGTCTCCCGCAGCATTCTGCCCTCACTCGTGAACAAAACCCTGAGATGAAAAACCCTTTTAATCAGGTATTCAGCCTGTTTAAAGGGAACAAACTGCCACTGGATAGTTTAATATTTTGTGTGCACCACTCTGAATGTGGGACAGAGACAGAAAAGGTGAAAGCTACTGTATATGAGGAGCTCAGAAAGAAGATTATATAGTCCATATTAAAGCTAAAGGCTGTAAGACCACCTCAGGGCAGCTTCACATTCCTCTGGCCACAGCTGTCTATATTATTAAACAGTAAAAGTTCATGAGACTTTAGCCAACCTCACAGGGTGTGGACTCAAGAGACAGATGGTGTCAATTGTATAACAAGAGCCACTTAAAACATCCAGATCCAGTTAAGAATTCATATTTTTAATAATACTTTTAATCTCAGCAATGTTAATGCAACCCTTTCTTTGACATTCACATGTGTGTTTGTCATCTTCCATGCATGTCCATGTACTTTTGCTTATACTGTATAGCCTTACCATGGATGAGTCTACAATGGCATATTTCTTTGAAAAACTTAACAAAGTACATATAAAGTCTTAAACCCATATTGTAACTGCATCTCCCTTATTTGTGATGTTGTTCTCTGTGTGTGGTCTCAGCTCCATGGTGTGATATTACTGCCTGCAGGGTGTTGGCAGCGCTGTTTGTCCCTCGGTCCTGTGTTCCTCTGTCATTCTGGAGTCTGACTGCTGCAGGCCCGCCTCCTCAGAGCTGGAGCCCAGCTGTGCAGCTGTCCTCAGCACCACTGTCTGATTAACGTTTTTCTACATATCTAAAATTCACCTGTTCATATTTGGATTTTAACAAGGCTTAGCAAGTGGTCAAATGTGCCATTGTAGCTTCCCACAAGTTGTGTATGATAGCAATGCATCAAAGACTTCGCCATTGGTGTATTCTAATGTGTTTATATTCAACTTTTAAATTAATATGTAAATAGAGGATTCTTTGATGTAGTATCAGCGCAGTCATCGCCGAGGCTGGGAGGCCCCTATCAAGATGACGTTCAGGGAACTAAAAAAAAAACCCACGTTGCACCTGAAAGTTAATTAAAAACCCATAAAAAGTGCCACTGCTCTGTCTTGTCTGTTTGTTGGCCTGCTGCTTTGCCTCTTTCTCCTATTCCTTCTCCATCTTCTCTCCCTGCAGCCACACGATGAATGCTTTCATTATGCTGACAAGTTCTCAGGCAGTCTCTCACTTCTCTTGTCTCTCTTTATTGCCAAACTATTTACATGCCAAGAGGAAGGCTTGGGCTCTGTCTTGATGAATTTAGACTTTTAATTTGTATACCATTCATTACTCTCTTAGGCATCAAGTAGAAAACTCAGTTCTTCTTTCCTGCTCAGCTCTGAGTTCATCCTCAACTTCCCCATCAATGAATTAACTTCATCTTTTTTTTTTTTAAAGTAGCCCCCCAAACTGTCATTCTACTCACCATTGTTCCACGTCATTTTTCCCTGAGTTCTTTCTTCAGCCATCAGAACGAAGATTAAATACTGAGAGCAAAGGGAAATGAGAAAGTAAAGCGGCTTATGAATCAATGACTGCAGTTATTAGTGCTGTAATTAGATTTAGGGAACGGGCAGCGCTGCATGGTGAGAAGTGGGGGGATGGGTTGACTCTTTATCATTCAAAGGATATCCTGTTCCTGTCAGGACAGTTGAGATGGAAAACTGAGCTCTTCTATGCCTGTGTGATATAATAAGTCAGCTCCACTGTCTGTATTGTTGGGATATGAATATGCAGAAAAGTAGGATTGAAGTTATGCCAGGGAGCGGTCACTTAACGTCGTCAACCTGAAAACAGTTCTTTCAAGTGTTATGTTTCATTTAATTTGGTGCCACATCAAAGTCACCGTGAAGAGCAGCAAATGTGTAACATTTTAATTGCTTCCTTTTTGTTAGTTGTCATTACATTGTCAATACAACAATGAATTATGCTGACAATTCCCACACCAAGTTCCTTATTGTGTGAATGCTTATTAAACATTCACACTATTGTGATCCATTTTTCTTCCGTACTTTTTTCAGTGTGATTCTCATTCCGCAGATTTCAAGCTATTTCAACAAATCATCAATCAAAATGTTCAGCTCTTTCAGGACTTCTCATCCACAACCTCTCCTCTTCCACCATAACCCTCAACACTGGGTCTCCTCATGGATGTGTGTTGAGCCCTCTCCTGTTCACTGCTCACATATGATTGTGCAGCTACCTATCCAGGCTGTCATATTGTAAAGTTTGCAGATGATACAGCAGTGGTGGGATGCATCACAAACAACTATGAGTCTAGCTACAGACAGGAGGTGGAACACCTGGAGAGCTGGTGCAGGAAGAAAAACCTTCTCTTCAGTGTGAAGAAGACCAAGGAGATGGGCATGGACTTCAGAAGGAACAAACACACCTACCGCTGAACATAAGAAAATCTGTGGTGGAAGTGGTCTCCAACTACAAGTACTTGGGTGTGCGCCTGAATGACAACCTCATCCGGGGCAAGAACACTACCAGCCTGATCAAGAAAGCTCATCAGAGACTCTACTTCCTCAGGCAGCTGAGATGAGCTGCTCTGGGAAGCTCAGTCCTCACCTCCTTCTACAGGTGTGCAGTGGAGAGCATCCTGTGCTCCAACATCAACATGTGGCATGGAGGCTGCACAGCTGCAGAAAGAAAAGCTTTGCAGAGTGGTGAAGGCTGCACAGAAGATGTTGGAGTCAGTCTCCCCACCATCACAGACATCTACACCTCTAGATAGAGGAAGAGGGCCACCTGCATCATGAAGGACCCCACTCACCCAGCACACACTTTTTGCCCTGCTCCCCTCAGGCAGAAGGATGAGGAGCATTAAGTGCAGAACCACCAGGCTGAGGAACAGCTTCTACCCTGAGGCTGTTAGACTCATGAATATCTAACCAGGATAATCACTGTGAAAAATCACTTCATGTTGCTGCTGATTTGTTTCATGTTAAACGTTAAATGGACTGTACTTATATCAGAGTCAGAGTCAGAGATTCTTTATTGCCATTCGCACCTTATGTGGTACATGTCGTGGTAAAACAGTAATAACATCTAAGATATGAAGTAAGAAAAACATCAACTAAATAAACACTAAGCACTCATAACATAAAACATTGAACATCAGCACAAACTTGAACATGAGTCTGTGTGAGCGGATGTGCACGCATGAACACATCAACATTGAAACAGATCAGCAGCAACATGAAACAGATCAGCAGCAACATGATGTGATTTTTCACAGTGATTATTCTAGTTAGAGATTCATGAGTCCAACAGCCTCAGGGTAGAAGCTGTTCCTCAGGCTAGTGGTTCTACACTTAATGCTCCTCAACCTCCTTCCTGAGGGGAGTGGGGCAAAAAGTGTGTTTGCTGGGTGAGTGAGGTCCTTCATGATGCAGGTAGCCCTCCCCCTGCATCTAGAGGTGTAGATGTCTGTGATGGTGGGGAGGCTGACCCCGACAGACTTCTGTGCAGCCTTCACCACTCTCTGCAAAGCTTTTCTTTCTGCAGCTGTGCAGCCTCCATGCCACACATTGATGCTGGAGCACAGAATGCTCTCCACTGCACACCTGTAGAAAGGAGGTGAGGACTGAGCTTCCCAGATCAGCTCGTCTCAGCCGCCTGAGGAAGTAGAGTTTCTGATGAGCTTTCCTGATCAGGCTGGTGGTGTTGTTGCTCCAGCTGAGGTTGTCATCCATGCGTAAACCCAAGTACCCGTAGCTGGAGAGCGCCTTTCTATCTTATCAAGATACTCAAAGCTCTTTACAACACAATCTGTGTCCTCATTTACCCATTCATACAACACTAGATCACTACAAAGCTAATTGAACAAATCATTCTAAAGAGACTAATCGGTGCTTCATCACATTCATACACTTATGGAACACACATTGGAGGCAACAAGGGGTTCAGTGTCTTGCCCAGGGACACTTCATCACTGCTGGTGGATTTGAAACCCCAACTCTTGCATTGGAGGACGACTGCTCGAACCACTCAGCCACAGCCGCCCCAACTGTTACTGTGTTTGTTCATGCTCATCTGCTCACACAGACTCGGCGTATTGTTTTTATTGTTTCTGTGCTATTAGTGCTTAGTGTATATTTAGTAGATTTTCTCTTAGTACATATCTTAGATGTTGTCATTGTTTTTCTTTTACATTTTTTGTTGGATGTAACTGGCACCCTTTGTACATAATCTCGTTCTATCACATGTACCACATGTGGTGCGTATGATCATAAAGAAACTCTGACTCTGACAATCCTGCTATGACTTTTGGTATTGGTGCAACTTTAGCTTTTTGAAATATTTAGCCTTTTCTGCCATTTTTTTCCTGATAGAAAATTAATTGAGCTCATTTTACATCTTTCTAATCTTTAGATCTGTTTACAACCTTTTACTGCTCCTTTCACATTTTGTTCTGGTTCAGCTTCTTTCAGCATCCTTGGGCAAAAAAACAACAAAAAAAAAATCAGCTACTTTCAGCTAATTTCAGCTGTTTTGTGCTCCTTTCAGATTATTTCTGCTAACTGTGACAGTTCTTTGCTTCTTTTAACATATGCTTGCTAATTTAAGCTTGTTATGCTTGTTTCAGCTTTTTCTGCTATTTCAGCTGCAATTTTGCTGTTTTACTCTTAATTTGAGCTTTTTCCCCCTTTTCTGCTAACTCCACACTTTTTGCACTCATTTCAACTTTTTTCAGTCTAATTCGGCAAAAAATGTGCTTTCTCCATGTCCTTCTGGTAATTTAATCTTCTTTCTGATTATTTTTTGTTCCTTTTCAGCAGTTTTTTTTCTGATTTAAATTTTTTTCAGATAATTTCCACTCATTTCGGCTTCTTTCAGCCTAATTGGGCAAACATGTTCTTTCTTCTTTCTTCTGCTAATTCAAGCTTGGCCTATGTTTTCAGCTACCTTTTTATTATTTTCTAGCTAATTTCAGCTGTTTTCAGATAAAGTCAAGTTTTTCCATGGTAATGTTTGCTACTTTTAGCCTAATTAACTTCTTTAGGCTAATTTCAGCTTGTTATGCGCTTTCAGTTTTTTTCTGCTAGTTTCAGCTTTATCTGCTATTTCAGCCACAAATATTTTTATTCTAATTTTAGCCTTTTCCACTAATTCTGCATTTAAAAAAAAAATCTCATTTCAGCTTTTTTCACTTCCTTCTGGTAGTTTAAGCTTCTTTTCAGCTACTTTTTTTTTTTTTTTACTAATTTCACATTTTTTTTAGCTAATTTACTAAGTTTTGTACTAATTTCTGCTAATTTAAACCTAATTCAGCAAAAATGTGTTCTTTCTGCTTTCTTCTGCTCATTTAGGCTTGTACTTTCATTTCAGCTACAATTCAGCATGTTCTTTTAGCTAATTTCAGTGAGTTCTTAAGCAATAAGCATTCACACTGCATTTTCGCAGCAATGCAATTTCTCTAGTTAAGCTTAAGTGTTATTCAAATATGACCAGAGTTTTACAGTTATCCAAATAAATACCTGAATGGATTTGATTTTTTTTGTCCCATAGATGTCATAATTCAGCCTATTAACCAGCAAATATCAATCATGCAATGCTGTTTTTCTTTTACAGTTTCTCATCTTTTTGTTTGTTTCTTTGTCTGTAAGAACATCCACCTGGTGGCCCGTTGGCTTGGAACCCTTGAAAAACTTCTTGAGCGGTTTTCAGAAGGAAGTCACAAGAACTTCCAAGTGATTGTCAGTGCAGAGCCCTCCTCCACCCCTGAGGGCCACATCATCCCACAGGGCATTCTGGAAAACTCCATCAAGATCACTAACGAACCACCTACAGGCATGCATGCCAACCTGCACAAGGCCCTAGACAACTTTAACCAGGTGACACATCCACACTCCAAACATGGTGGGGGAAAAAACAACAACAATAACAACAAAAAAAATTCTGCTGTGTAATTTTAGGCATCAACCTTTTATTTTCCTTTCCAACCACATGCATTTAAAAAAATAAAAAAGTAGTTTTTCATACACATACTATTGTATGTGAAAACATTTATTTTTTAAATTACTAGTTTTGATTGTGCTACTCTCAACATGCTAATTGTTGTATTATTTTTTATTTCAAATGAGTTTCATGTCATTTTCATGTTGTACTCTTTTCTGTTTTTACCATTTAAATAATCTAAGACTTTATGCAATATAGCCAAATAAGCATGCAATAATAGAGTACACACTTACTGAGAAAAGAAGTTTGGCATCTAGAAGGACAAGTGTTTTTGAACTGTTTGGTTCACATTCTGACTATTGATGGGTATATAAATGACTTGATTTACAATAAGCTGTCTGATCTAAAACAAGTACCAGAAAAGATAAGAGGTGACATCTAAAATGAAGGGATAATGTCATTGGACAGCTGTTGGAGTGTTAGGCCAAACAGTGAGTGAAGGTCAACAGACAGAGCTAAGTCATATTCCCCTTAGACAGGATTACCAGCACATGGAGTTTTTCGTGGGTCACATTGTGGGTTTGAATAAAGCCACGTGGTCTTATCATACCATTCCATGCCATACCATACCCTACCCTACCCTACCCTACCATACCATACCATACCATACCATACCATATCATACCATACCATACCACTTTTTTATAAAGCACATAAAATTGCAACAAGGCCAACCAAAGTGCTTCTTATGTAACTGCACAGCATGTGGTGTGTACAGATGTCAGAAAGTTGATGATGGAAACAATGTGAGGTCGTCCATTTACATTCTGAAGGTGCTGTAGGTTCTGGTCACCCAAGCCTGACGTCACCAGGGAAAGAACACTGTGTTGTGCAACAAAACATTACAAAACATCATGACTTCTCTTCTTGCCATATGGACATAAGTACTGGACTCTTTACAACACCTTGTGTCATTCTGCACCATGAATTAGTGATTGGAATCAGGTGTACTATGAGTTCTTCATCCATTATGTAGGTTGTTGTTAATGCCACAGCAAAGATAACTGTGTTTTGAGTGGTGCTGTAACCAGGAGGAATGAAATATTGACAATTCTTGTACTACACAAATTGATGAATCTCAGTTCTGCGTTACATAAAATGATAGTTAAGTGTGCATTTGCTGGCACAGACAAGAGAGAATCAATCCTTCCAATGTTATGGAGGAGAAACAAAACAATATTTCTCCTGGTTATGGAGACATAGGAGTGACTTTGGATCGAAAGTGATTTTGGGGAATATCGACAGCATAGAGCTATATCCTGCATCTGCACATTTTACCCCTTCTGAGACAGCACCCTGTTACAGTCTTTCAAAAAGACAACACCCTACCACACTCGGAACGTGTGTCTATGAATTGCATGCATTGTGTTGAGTTTCTTCTGTGGTCAACAAGGTCCTTCAATCTTTTTCGACTCAAATCTGTGTGGGATCAACTTGTCCATAAACTCCAACTTAGAGCTGATCTGCTGTATCTTGATGGTCCGTTCAAACAGATGGGTGATGACCTTCTGCACTAAACCACTGCTCAGATTTCACCCTGAGGTGAACCAAACTTGTTGTCAGTGAGTGTATATTTGTTGACAAGTTGATACGGAGGGTCAGTGTTTCCCCTACCATTATCCAAGGAGGGTGCCCTGCCCAGTCAACAGAACCAAGTGCCCTGTTTCTTTCACTCACAACTCTACACCCCCCTTCCCACCTTTAGTGGTGCACAATACAGACGTGCTAGCTAAAAAGCTACAGATGTATTGCTCCTCTTTTGTCATGCACCCCCTATCCCCTGTCTACAAAAATCCCTGAAGCGGAGTGCCCTGCCAAGTCAAGTGACCTCAGGGATACACTTGAATGTATACATGGTAGCTTCTAGTAGTTTCTCTGAAAGTTTAAAAAAATATCTGAATACTTTTTTTTTATATATATTTCACTTGGCTAATTTGGTTACTGGCCAGCAATGGTGAGCACCATCCCTACAGCAGGAAAGGCGCATGATTGCCTCTCATTCTGGGGCCTTTCTGTGTGGAGCTTCCATGCTCTGCTTGGGCTTGAGTGGGTTTACTCTGGGTACTCTGGTTTCCGACAGACCATAAACATGCATGTTCGGCTAATTAGTAATTCTAAACTGTCCCTGGGTGTGAATGAGAGTGTGGATGATTGTCTCATTTGTCTCAATGAGGCCCTGAGATGGACTTGTGACCTACCTAGGGTGTACCTTGCCTCTTCCACTTCTTCCTTCACCTTTTTGAGATTGACACCAGCAATCCAGAAAGGAAAATGGGGGGACATAAACTTGATGTATGGATAATTTGGGTACTGTTCAGCTTGTTTTATTTTAGTAGTTTGAGTATTTTGGTTATTTGTTCATTAGATCGTCTTGTAAAAACTCTTCACACCTACATGTTTATTGGCTGATGACAACACACTGACTGCCCAAAGGTTACAGCAAACTACTAAATATTTTTAATACTGCAAAATGAGACGAAACCAGAATGGGAACATTCTTCCAGAAAAAAACATCACCACTCACTCCTAATGATCATTGGAAGGTATCACTTATTTCAGACTGACATGCTTAGTCTGTTTGTCTTATTACTGCATTATTGAATGGCCATAAATAGTTGAGAGAAGGGGTATTTGATTTAATAGAAAGTTAATTTTCAGGTTGTGGGGTCACTGGTTCCATCACAGAGTGATGTCCAGCCATCACTCTGTGAGAGGCGGGTTACACCCTAAACAGGTCACAAGTCTTTCACAGGGCCACACAGAGATAAACGAGTCAAACAACCATTCACGCTCTCACACCTAAGAACATTTTAGAGTTACCAATCAGTCTAACATGCATGTTTTTGATCTGTGGGAGGAAACCAGAGAAAACCCAGAGAAAACCCATGCAAGGATGGAAAGAATATGCAGACTCCACCCAGGAAGGCTTCCAGCCAGGATTTCAACCAGGCCGGCCTGTTTGTTGAGAGGCAGCTGCTCTACCAGCTGTGCCACTGTGCTGCCCAGTTTGTAAGATGTTTACCTTAATTGTGACCCAATTTATTAATAAATATTTTGTTCATCCTGATTTGTGGTAAAAAGACTTAAGATGCCTGGGAAATTATCTCGGAAGAATTTAAATATTCATTGTCTGGAATCTTACTTTCTGACAGCAACTAAATCTCAGGGTTGTTACATGGTCTTTGCTGCAGAAGGAACACATACGATTTTATTGAAGATTCATCTAAAATCTTCTCATTTTAAGTGCCACAGCTAACAGAAGGCAGTCATGTTGCACTTTCCTTGGAATTAGCAGTGACCTTTGCAGGACATACACATGCTGAAGTTTAAGGTTTGTATCATTGCATTCTGCGGGGAGATGGTGGTATTACGTGAGGACAAACATCTCAACAAGGTCAATTTGTGGAGCTATCAGAGAACAGCCAGACAATATCATGCAGCCATGACATTCTGTAGCCCCCATAGTTAAAAAGGATTGTTGTGCGACAGTGGCCTCCCCTAGTGTTTCTCTTCCTTATCAGTTTGTTGTCTTTATCTAAGTCGTACCATTATCTCTGTGCTTTGCTGCCAATGCATCTTACACTATTACCTGAGCTCTCGGCTTCTTCCCAATCTATTTACAGGATCATTAGTTGGCCGATGTCTATCTGCCTGATAACTGCAATGCATTTGTGAGCCCATCCCTATGCAGGGACACACGGGAGATCTGTTGAGGTTAGAATCTGGAAATATTCTGGTCTTGTGTACTCAGTGAGAGCTAATCAATGTTAGGCTAACTCTCTTTAATAGCCCACCCGCAAGGCTAAAACCACAGCTAAGCTAGAGAAATAACAGCATCATTGGTTTTTCCACCAGTAAATGCTTACAGCTCTGCAGCAGGTTATCTTTCCCAGACCACACACACACACACATGCGCACAAAGTATTTTTGCACTAAGGCAATTTCTTGCACAATAATACAATTGTAAAGTGATAACTTTGCTATAACTGTTCTGGAAGAAAGTTCTTTAGATTTTCAATACCCAGTTCAGTCAGTCCTACTCTCAGTTGTAATCAGATTCTCCAGTGTTTAACGCACTGATATGGAAATGCTCGTTTATGTATTTGTATGTTTATGTGTCTTTGTGGCTCAGATCTTGCAGCATTTTGTTTCATTTTAGTCCACAGGTCATGAATAGGGAGGTTATGCATCTCTTTCAGCTGTGTTGAGCAGAGGAGCGTTGTGCAGAATATTAACTAAACCTTAGGCTGGGAGTGTGTATGGCAGTCTGCCTGTGCATCGTAGCAGTCAGCTCCCCAGGGCACTGCAGCAAAGGAAGTGGGGGCCTTCCCACTCAGCATAGTACACGATAGAATAAAGAGAATAGTCTTTCTGTTTCCATGGAGGTTACTGGAATGCTTATTTAACTATCTCTCCCCCTAGAGATTAGAATGTCATTTATGTCCATTTTTATTTGCCTGTCTAGAATAATGAGCCCTGTAGACAGTTGGAGGCTGAAAGTATTTGACAAGTTGCAACAATTAAAAAGGAATCTCATCATTGGGTTTACTGCCATAGTCTGTTACTGTGATGCATCAGGGAAGATTTGATTAAATAAAACTTATCACCACTTTTTTTCTTAAACACATGAGTGCTGTATTGTTAATGTGGTATGCAGTTTGGGAATCCCTGTTGCTTAAATGTGTCACTTTTTGGTCTTTTTTTTTATTTTCAGGACTCATTGGAAATGTGCGCTCGGGAGAATGAGTTTAAGAGCATATGGTTTGCCCTTTGCTATTTTCATGCAGTGGTGGCAGAGAGGAGGAAATTTGGTCCTCAGGGTTGGAACAGGTCATATCCCTTTAACATTGGAGACCTGACCATTTCTATCAATGTCCTCTACAACTACCTGGAGGCTAATCCCAAGGTAAATGTGTTTCTTTTTTTATTTTCTGTGTGTTTGCAGCAGATTACAAAACTCCATTTTTTGTATCCTAATGGAAAACATGAACTTGTGTGACATCAGCTCCACACTGCAGGCCACATTTTAACAGAAACATCTCCTTGATTTGCTATTTCGAGGTACCATACGACGATCTGCGCTACCTCTTTGGTGAGATAATGTACGGGGGTCACATCACCGATGACTGGGACCGGCGATTGTGTCGGACCTACCTCGAAGAGTTTATCAAGCCAGAGATGATGGAGGGGGAGCTGTACCTCGCACCGGGCTTCCCCCTGCCTGGAAACACTGATTACAACAGTTACCATCAGGTGGGGCAATTAGGACTGGACTCAAATCGCCATCCATGCATCCATCCATCCATCCATCCATCCATCCATCCATCCATCTTTTCTTTCATTCTTTCATTCTTTTGTTTTTTCATTCTTTTGTTCTTTTATTCTTTCTTTTGTTCTTTCTTTTTCTTTTATTCCTTCTTTCTTTCGTTTGTTCGTTCTTTCTTTCATTCTTTCTTTCGTTCTTTCTGTCGTTCTTTCTTTTTTTTTGTTCTTTCTTTCTTTCTTTAGTCCTATCTTTCTTTCTTAGAAACCTATATTATATTTCCAGCATTCATTGAGCAAGAGGTGTGGCACATACTGGATAAGACCTACGGGTATTTCCAGCCATCTCATGAAATTTTATATAAACTAAAAACATAAATAAATAAAAAAACAGTACAGTAACTAAATGAATACAACAAACTACAGAAGCTTAAGCTACAAGTTTAACCTTGAAGAATCAGCTATTAAATGTGTTATAACTCTCAGTTACAGTACAAGAAAGTGTAAAGATTACATCCTCTAAATGTCTCCTTGGGGTTGGGAGTGGAAGGTATGTGGCCCCCTGCAAATTTGTGATAGTCTAAAAGAGCTATAACTGAGCTACTCTAATTAAAATAATTTCCAGATGATGATTCCCTGGGTACAGTGCAGACTTATGGAGTTCAATGATAAATCAATAAGAATGAAATTATAGGTGGGTTCCTGGGAAATTGCAGATCGTAGTTTAGTTATATAAATATTTCTCTTAGGTGAGGTAAGCTTGCTGTGGGTGGGAAGACTGTCAGTGAGTTTAAATGGCAGAAAAGAGCTAACAGAGACTATAGAGTCATCCATCCTGACAGGCATAACAAAAATAAATACTGTATATCAGTATGAGAAAATAATACATTGAAAATACAAAAAAAAAAAAAAAGATAACAAGAAACACAAACTGTATTCACACATTCACAAAGTTCAGTCTTGAAAAATACAGAATTAGGTTTTGGTCATTTCCAGGTCTGGATAAGTTTGAATAAATAATTAGACTGCTTTCTTCATTTGGTTTTCTACAAAAAATTAAATAATATGTATTTCTAAAAATAAATAACTGAAACAAGAAGGACTTTTCTTGCTGATAAAATAATACATCATCACCATAGAATACAAACATACATGCAATGCTAATTGGATATCCAAAGTGTACCCCACAGACAGTGTTCATCTCATTGTTTTACTGTATTTCACAAAATGTTACATTTGAGGATTTAAAGACTCTAAAGTATTTTATCTACTTAAACCATCTCCAGCCTTGTACTTCTATGCTTCACTATCAATATTTGGTTATCCTTCAAAGATGTGATCATTTACTGAACTGAATAAAGTGTGAGTGATTCACTTTAACTCACCATTTCAAATCGTTATTACTCAAAAATTTGTTAAATAAAAACATAACTTTGAAAAAATGAATAGTCTTCTGTATTTGAAAATAGGATTACATATAATATGAAAATAAATACAAATTATAAAAGGTTTTCCACTTCACTGTGTGACAGGATTTCAGCCAGAGACCATTTTTGATTAGTAGAAACTGTTTCTGCTTTGGGTAGAATCTCATTTGGCTGCAACTACTGGAGACTGACATAACAAACTGCAAGAACTGCAAGAAAGTGGTCAAATTTTCATTTACATCCATCCATCCATTATCTTCAACTTGTTTTGAAGTCGGGTTGCAGGGGCAGCAGTTGAGCAGGGAGGTCCATACATCTCTTTCGACAGCCACCTCTTCCAGCTCTTCTGGAAGGATTCCAAGGCATTCCCAGGCATTGAGGACCATGGCCTCAGATTTGGAGGAGCTGATTCTCACCCCAGCTGCTTCACACTTGGCTGCGAACCTCTCCAGTGAGAGCTGAATATCACGGCACGATGACGCCAAAAAGACCACATCATCTGCAAAGAGCAGAGATGGATTCCTGCGGCCACCAAACTAGAATCCCTCTGCCCCCTGGTTGCACCAAGAAATTCTGTCCATAAAAGTTGGTGAAGATTTCATAAAAGTTATGAACAGAATCGGTGACAACAGGCAGCCCTGGCAGAGTCCAACTCCCACCCTGAAGAGGTCCAACTTACTACCAGAAATGCAAACCAAACTCTTGCACTGATTGTATAGGGACCAAACAGCCCATAGCAATGGGCCCACAATCCCATACTCACAGAGTATCCCCCACAGTGTAACCCCAGAAACATGATCTAATACATTTTCTAAGTCCACAAAATGCATGTAGACTGGATGGCCCAGTGTTTCATGGCCAGGATGGAACCTGCATTGTGCCTCCTGGATCTGAGGTTTGACCAACGATCAGACTTTCTCTTCCAGTATCCCAGAATAGACCTTACCAAGGAGGCCATGGAGAGTGATTCCCCTTTAATTGAAGCACAACCTCTGGTCCCCCTTTTTTAAGAGGGAAACCACCACCTTAGTCTGCCAATCCAGTGGTGCTGCTCCCGATGTCCATGCGATGTTGCAAAGGTGTGTCATCCAAGACAGACCCACAACATCCAGTGCCTTAAGGAAATCAGGGAGGGTGAATCTCATCCTCCCCTGTAGCCCTGCTGCCGTGCAGCTTTTTAACTACCTCGGTAACCTCAGCCACAGTTATGGACAGACTAACCCTGGAGTTCCCCAACTCTGCTTCTTCCTCCATTGAAGACGTTCTGGTTGGATTGAGAAGGTCCAAGAAGTATTCCTTCCACCTCCCGATGACATCACTGGTTGAGGTAAACAGCACTTTAACTGAACACAGTGTAAGTAAAGAGCTGCTTTCCCCTCCTTAGTTGCCTGATGGTTTGCCAGGATCTCCTCAAAGCTGACCAAGAGTCTTAATCCAAGGCCTCACCGAAATCCTCCCACATCCGAGCTTTTGCCTCAGCAACAGCCAAGCCTGCAGACCACTTGGTCTTCCAGTACTCCTCAGCTGTCTTTAGAGTCTCAACAGTCAACAAGGACATATAGGACTCCTTCTTCAGCTTGACAGCCTCCTTAACCTGGTGTGTCCACCACCGAGTTTGAGGATGGCCTCCGCGAGAAACACCAACAACCTTGCAGCCACAGCTCAAGGCAGCCACTTCAACAACTGGGCCACAGAACATGGCCCACTCGGACTCAATGTCCCACGCCTCAGCTGAGATGTGGTTAAAGCTCAAAAGAGGTGTGAGTTTAATATCTTTCTGACGGGTTCTTCTGCCAGGCGTTCCCAACAAACCTTACTACACCTTTTGGTCTACTGGGTCTGTCCGGCATCTTCCCCCAACATCCGATCCAACTCATTATCAGGTGGCAATTAGTTGACAGCTCAGTTCCTCTCTTCATCCGAGTGTCCAAAACAAATGGCCACAAATCAGATGACACATCTACAAAGTCAATCATCGATCTATGACTTAGGACATCCTGGTGCCAAGTGCACTTATGGACACTCTTATGTTCGAACATGGTGTTTGTGATGGACAACTATGAGTAACACAGAAGTCCAACAACAGAGCACCATTTGAGTTCAGATCAGAGAGGCCATTCCTCCCAATCACACCCCTCCATGTCACAATGTCATTACCCACATTGGCGTTGAAGTCCTACAGGAGAATAAAGGAGTCCCCAGCTGGCAGACCTTCCAGCACCCCAGCCAAGGATTCCAAGAAGGCTGAATACTCTGAACTGCCGACAAGCAAAAGTCAGAGCCCATCCCCCAACCCAATAGTGCAGGGAAGCTACCCTCTCATCTACTGGGGAAAACTTTAACACACAGGCGCCAAGTTGGGGGGCTAAGTGTAGACCCACACAAGCTTGGCATCTCTCACCATAGGCAACTCCAGAGTGGAATAAAGTCCAGCACTTCTAAGGAGATTGGCTTCAGAGCCCATTCTGTGCATCGAGGTGAACCCCATGGGTAGAAACCCGGTCACCAGGCGCTCACCGACAAGCCCTTCCTCCAGGACTGGGGGGTTCCAAATTAACTTTTTTTTTTTTTTTTTATGTGGGGGGACTTGTCCCCTTAACATATAATGGTTGCGACACCTATGGTTGAATGATTTTTTTTTTTTCATTTTCATTTAGCCTTTATTTATACAGGTTAGTCTCATTGAGCCACGAGAACTCATTTTCAAGAGAGACCTGTTTAGGGAGCACATGGTGGGGGTTAAGGGCCTTGCTCATGGGCCCAGAGTGGGGCGAATGAGGGTGGGGGCAAGTGTGGGTGTTTCACCTACCCCACCCACAATTTTGATGTTGTCGGGGCTGGGGCGTGAACTGGCGATCTTCGGATCACAAGCCCACCTCTCTAACCTCTGCGCCACCACTCCCCCTAATTAATTGAATTAATGAATTAATGAATTAATGTAAAACAAGGTAAAATACTAAGTACATAAACATATTTGCTTTGGTATTTCTATTGACATTATCAAATGTTTAAAATACTGTAATTTCTGGACTATTGAGTGGTCCTGAATATAAGCCGCGCCCGCTAAATTTAAAAGGAAAATTAAAATTTTACATAAATAGGCCACACTTGTGTATAAACCGTGGGTTTTCATGTATAACCTGAGATATTTACACAGAAACATTTTTTTAAAAACTTCTAATTAACTATGTACTGGTAACATGCACAATTACAGTAAAAAACATAATAATTCTGAGCAGTTCCTTTAACACGGCTGATACAAAAATAAATAAATACAGTAGTCTACCAGGAAGTCAATGATCGCTACACCCGCCCCCCCAAGAGGGATGTGTATTGGACAGCTGTGTGAGCACCTGGGTGTGACGAAGCTACAGCAGCATGAAGCTAGTTAGCCCATCAAAAAAAAAAATAATAATAATCCATAAATTAGCCACAAAGTATAAGCTGTGGTGTTCAAAGCATG